TTGTAAATGGCCCACAAGACAATCATATTGTATATATGCTCTGATCCAAGGGATTAGTTTGACTGCACAATATTTAATTGTTTCAACAGGTATATGTGAGTATTAATCGATTGTAATTGATTAATCAATCAGCAAGTACAACTAAGTGCCCAACTCTCTAGATTAGAGCTGTTGATGCTATCTGGTCCCTTTTCATGTGTTAAGGGAACCAACTTTTGGTCATGGAATCCTGTATCTAGAGGCTAAAGATTGATAATATGGTATTTCTAGGAAGAGTTTCATTACATAATGCTATAAGTTTAACAATCAAGTGTTGGGTAGTTAATTCCTTTAACTATTTTGAATTTCATCTGTTTACTTGCTTTAGTCTTTAATTGATTTTGAAGTAAATGTTGTTTGGCTAATTTATTGGTATGGGGGGTAGTCATTAATATTTAATAGAGTAATGACTGTACGTACACTTTTTCCTGGCAAAAGTACAGATTTAAACCTGTGATATTTCACTCCCAGCTTGCTTTGTGAGGAAAGTATGAACACAAAGACATGTCAGAGGTAGATTAGTATTGTCCAACTATATACAAAATGCCAAAACATCATGGATTTGAGAAAGCATGATTAAAAGTTATTAAAGTGTTTATAATTAATATATATGAAATAGTTGCAACAACATATATTAATGGGAAAACAATTGTGCTTGAGACAATTGCATTAGGACTTAATAATACAACAAGCTCATAAATGAGCAGCTTCAAAGCTTACAGTAATAACTATATAATATGAAGTTAGTCTGCTTGTCTGAATACCTATGATATCAGTAAATCAAATGTATGTGTTCTTAAAGCTATTTCTAAAGTTTATAGTCAGCAGGTCTTTTGTTGTTGTTGTTACAGCAGAGTAACTTGCCATAAGGCCTGATTTTAAAGTAACGATATTAGCATAGCATTATTCAGGTCAAAAACAATTAATGTACATTGTTGCCCAATGAAGGTTGTGGTAAGAAGGCTGAAAGCTCACAATAAACAGAAAAGTATTTAATGTAGAGAACAGTCTATCCTTATTTTATCTATATTAATTTACCATTATTATGAGTTTTCAAAAACAGAAGGAAATTTATATTAACTTCCACTCAGAGCAAGCTTCCTGGTAACAAGTATAGATATTTAATTATTTACTGCTCTTTCTTGTAAAATTTAGAATGCATTGTTTCTTCTGTCGGGTACCCTCACTGTTAAGGTTTTCCACTGTAAACCCTTGTTAGCACGGTCACTAAACCCCTTTCTCTGAATACATTCCCAGACACTTTTTTAAGACTATTTATTTTGGGCTTTTGTCAGAAATCATAGGAAATGTACAGCTTGCTTTGTATAAATGTTTTCATTGTCTTTGTTATTAAACGTATGTTAGTTCAAGGACATCTCCTTTGTGGTTGTTGTTGAACAAGTACAGGAAAGATACTTGGTTTAATAATCATGCGAAAGAGAACACAAGATTTTTCTATCAAGTAGGATCTGACCATTTTTGTAACTCTTTTAACTTAACTTTGGGTAGTTTTCTGTTTTGTGATTCAAAGAGAATGAATAATAAATTGCTATCTTTTCATATTGTTCACTACCATTAGTGTACTGATTAATTTGTATTTGCTTTTGGCTGTTAATAAATGTGAGAGTGTTGCTTTATAGCCATTGGTTACAAAAAAAGTCACAGAAATGCATCTTATTCATGTTTACTTTGTTTAAACTAAATAATACTGTGGCTTTAACTTAGTTTATTGGTCTCTTATTAGAAGCTGTAAATCGTAGCCAGTATTACTTAGGGTAGGATTAAGGTAACAAAAAAATTTATGCCAAGTTAATATTCATTATTCCTTATTTGCTCAAAAAAATGTTGATTATAGAATAATTTTCTCATTTAAGTATTTGTCAGAAATTACTAGACATGGATTAATAACAATCTGTCGGTATGTAATACTGTTTAATGGCTAACTCCTGTTTACTCAGAATTAGCTCTAGATAAATAGGAAGCATTGATAAAGGAAAACAAGTCTGGCTGTTGTCATGTGCCACTTAAACACTTCCTAATACAGAAATCTTCAAGTTGTTTGATTTACTGATTTCTCAGTATGCACCTGCGTTTCTACAGTTACTTCCAGCTTGTACTGTGAAATGTTACTTCCTTGAAAATCAACAATTTTTCATTTAAAAGCTTACGATGTTTTTTATACTTATAAACTTGTGAATTATTTTTTAAAGTTTTTCGTGCTTATGGTAGAAGGTACAAAAAATCCTGTAATTTCTCTGATTAAAGATTTTTTATATTACCATGATTTTAATATCTATTGAAATACTTCAGTAACCATTATACTGTCTGTTTTTCTAAGATTGGGGTGAACTTGTTTTCTCTAAATTGTATATTACCTATTACATGCTGGAACAATTAAGAATCTTTACTAGTTTTTCACATGAAATCTAAGGACAAATATTTTTAATGATGAATTAGTATATTTAGGTTTAGTAGCACAGTTTTGTTAAAATTTGTAGGGAAAACCCATAGAATGCTATTTTCAGTTTCTTACAGGTTTTGTACTATGTTGCACATATGATATGTTTTCATGTACAACAGTTCACTGTTAATAAAATATTAATCCTGAATTGTTGTACCTGAAGATATCTATCACTAACTCTGTCTAGGCTTACAAGATGACGTTGTCACTCCTGTTTGTTTTGTTCTCACTTTTAAAATGCTTAATTTAATTGCAGGAAATCACACTTTCTACATAATATATAGTTTATGCTTGAAAAAAATTATGTAATTTGGTTAAGTATTTATATATTTAGGTTGGGAAGTTTTGGAAATTTTGTTGTTAAATACTGGTTTTAAAAGAATTAAAAAATCATGTAAATGTATCCAATAGTTTTTGTTGTTGTTGTTTTTTGTTTGTTTTTTCAAGAAAAAATCTTCCTGTTATTTATCTATTGTTCTATTAATGGCATATTCATTATTTTGTGTTTTGATAGGAGCTCTTACATACAAAGAAAGTATGAAAGAATTAAAAGTGGATTAATATCACTTTTGTTAATCAAAGTTCCATTTTATAAATACAGTTCAATTACTGAGGAGTTCTTGTACTTGTATGCATTGTTTGAGTAATAATAAATTTACAAATATACGTAGATAGAAAAAAAAAGTTTTACTGTCATCTGAATAGTTTGCCATGACAGAATGAGCTTACTGTACCCACTAACCCTAAATATCCTTACCTTATGTCTTCTCATAGAAGAATATTCCAGTAGTTTTAAAACAGACATAATATAGCACAAAGAAATTATCATGAAAAAAGAAACTATAAAAAAAAACTCCCAGGTTTTTGGCTTGTTTCTAAGTTTTGTAAACTTAGTATTAAAATCCTTAGTTCTCTACTGTAAGAATTTCTGCTAGGTGCTTCTCAGAAACCATACATTATGATCTACGTATGTTATTTACGTTATAGTGCTAGACAAAAACATTTTCTATCCAATCATGTTTAGCCATTGGTTCTATCTTGTTTGGAGGCTAAGATCTATTAGTTATTGTCCAACCAACTTTCTGTGACATCATAACAGGATTCTTGAAACATTTATTGAGAGAAAATGAAAGTCACCTGGGAAACAAAGTTGAATAAGTTTATTTCTAAGGGATGCCAAGATTTGGTTAAATATTAACCTATACTTTGGAATGGGTAGTAAAATTCTGAAAATTTGTTTAAAAGGGCTTTGTTTACAGGCAATACCTATTGGACCTGTGCAGTGGTCAAAGTTCCAATATGTTTTACATATTTCTTTTCAAATTCAAATTAAATAAATTTTACAAAGTTACAAGATATCAATTCTCATATATTTTTAAGCAAAGACCTGGTGGCATAAAATTAGAATTATTATTTGAAATTTGTTATGCTAGTGTGCCCTCTCAACTCCAGGGAGCTATTGACCAACCCTAATAGGGTTAAACCAAGAGTTGTCTAAAAATATCATTAACAAAAACAAAAGAAAAAATTGTAATAAGAAGATTACTTGATAGTAATTGATTAATGAGTCTAACAGTTAATCAATTAGCAAATTTCACTATTGCTCATTTTCTGTGTAATATACACAGAGTATCCAAGTTGTACATAGTGGGTTCATTGTAATATTGATGGTATTCTTAAATTTTTTGTATTGTTCATATGTTATTAATAACCTCCATACAATTTGATGCATAAATAACTGAGAAAAATGTATTTAACAAGCTTATATAGTTCATTTGAATCCCATCAATGATTCTCTGGTCAATTTAAGTAACAGAGACATATGTAGTAGGTGAGGAGTGGACCAGCATGGGCCCAAAAAATTCCAAGCAGAGTGGTTTGCCACTTCTCACTCATCTAGTCCACAAGTGTCTAACGAAGTTATTATAGGTATGGAATAAGAAGCTCAAAGTTTAGAGGAGGTCAATACAACTAGAAATAATTTTATTTGTTGATGTGTTTTAGCACTGTATAAAACTTATGGTCTCAACCACAAGCAACACAGTAAATACTATTGAACCTCAATTATCATTGTCATTGTCACTTTATTGTAACAACAAATGAACTTGATAGGGAAAAAAAATTATCTACTTGGTGAATTTAAAGCATGTAGACAGAGAGCTGGTGAAATTTTTGTTGCCTAGAAAGTAACCTGTGGTATTTGTACTCTAAGGCATACCCTGGTATGACTGCAGGGAGACATTCTGATTGATGAATATACAAACCAGACAATATTTCGTGGGTGTACAAGTTATTTACTTAGTGACCAGGGCAGGTTTCAAATATCATGATATATTCTTCCAGGCATACCACACAATAATGTGATTCAGTTTTATCTGTTAACAGTTCATTACTTTCTGTTAAGTGTTATCAGGTAATGTTTAGTGGTGAAAGTTAGATAAATTATTTGAAAATCAATTATAGAATCTATATTAAGCTAAAACTCAGTGAAGAAAATCATGCTTCGAAAATAAACAATTAAATTTAAGTTGTGTACATATAGTACAAACGATGCAGTCTGTGGAGGGTTCATTGTTAGCTAGACTTTTGTTGTAAAGTTTGAGAGTATATTTTGATTATTCATTGACTATGTATTACCTGTTTTATGCAACAGGAAGAAAATGTAACTTAATTGTAATGTTATATTTAGGAAGTTGTTCATTAGTTAGTGTATACTAATGGAACTGTTTTATCTGTTCAATAATTATTTTATTTTTCAACAAATTTGTTGTTCTTTTATTATTTGAAAAGATCCCAGTTAATACTTGCTGCATACAGTTTGATGTCAAAAAAGGTTGCTATAAAACTTAAAAAGAAATTTAAATGTCCAAAATTTAGTTACTGCAGTATGCAATGATAAACAAGATTCATTGTGTGGTGTACCTTATTTACAAAAACTGATGTGTAAAGTCATTGGTCGTTCATCATAACTAAGCAAAAAAATATCTAAAAAAACAGGCCCTTAGCTGTTTGTAGTTAAGTCCAACTCAGATAAATTCTTAAAATAAGAGATTAGTAAATTGTAGAGTAGATACCACAACTAGGAGAATGTCTCATAAATAGTAACACAGTGTGTAAAAAAAAATTTTAGAAATCCAAAATTACATCTTTACTACATTTTCACATTGTTTGAAGTATAGTACTTAAATCTGATATATTATTTTTACTAAGTTTGTAATTTTTGGTATACTTTGCAAGTTTAATTTTTGAATTAGACATACATCAGCTATTTTCTGTTTACATTATCTTTAAGGGTGTACATGGCACCCAGTGGAGTGAATGCACCTTTTAAATTGTTATTACATTTTTCAATCAAATTTTTTGGAATAGGTTTATTATTATTTTTAACTGGGTCACTAAGTAACCTTTAACAGAACTTTAACTTGTCAAACTACTGTCAGATGAGAAATTCTATTTGATGAGAAACATTTTGTTACTTCAATTTGTGAATTAGTGTTACCTTATCAAAATATTTTGCTTATTTTGTTGTTTGTATGATATGCAGTTTATGTAAAATTATTCAAACAAATGTGAAATTATAAAAAAGAACCCAGCCATATAAAATGGAGATATCAGACACACAAGCCAAGTCAGAAGAAACAATTGAAGAATCCCTGTATTACTTTTATTATTAATAGTAGTGGTATTAATATTATTAGTATTATTATGAGATAAGCATCAACATTTAAACTGTAGCTCTTATCTTCATCTACTGGAATCAAATACACAATACAAGTTAGAAAAAACTTGGCTTGTATCTTATAACTCCACTTTATATAATTGGGTTCTATTCATAGCTTGGCATTTTTTCACATTGACAATGTTTTTGTTATAGGTACCACTTATTTTTATTTTTCACAAACACTGCACACAATGCTACCTGAACTATGCATTCAATGTCACTGGTTTTAGCTGTTGTCTGATACTGCCCATTTTGTTGAAAAAGGCTTAATTTTTTTGCTTTCTTTCCGTACAAAGCCGATAAAGGACCATGATTAGAATCGTATTCTTTGTATGCAACCTAAACTGTAGTCTTGTGGTTAAAGTCACAGTGTAATATACAGAGCATCGCAAGTTCAATCCTACCCCAAAACAGTTTTTTTTAATTTCACACTTTATTAGCAAATGCTCTTTTTTTTAATACAAGAATAATTAGTTTTGTGTATATTATGTAAACATCACAGTAGACACATTCTTTGGTTGTAAAACAAGTAAAATATCATGGAAGCTCAGATTTCACATACTGTAGACATGGTGTTTCAAAAGTAAAATAAATATATATTAGCCTTACTTTGGTGATTTATTTCTCTTACTTTTTGACATACATTCGACTTAACTATGTATTAAAGGTGGAATGGTGCTTCTGGCTGATGTAGTTTAGGTGCACCAGAACACCTAGGATCAGCAAAACTATCTGTGCTGTATAGAAAATCACTGGTATCTCTCCGACACCTTTTTATACAACTAGGACATCGGAACTACTGTTCCCCTTGATGTACAGTTGAATGTATGTTATGGCTTTTAGCATTAATAAGTTAATGAAGTTTACACTGAATTATGAAGTTACAAACAAAACAAAAACAAATATGTATTATATTTGTAGTGTAATCAATGCTTATTTCATGAAGTTTTGAGCAGTAGAGCTCTCACAGGTTGTAAATAAATAAATGTTACCAGCAGGAAACCAGTCAGTCTTCCATTGAAATATATGTTTGAGCATTATTGCCCTATAATTTGCTTTTTTTATCTTCTGTGGTTGAATTGTAATAAAGTAGTTATTGATAAAATTGTATAAACTTAACGAAGTGATATTTTTCTTGGTTATTAAATCCAGCTGTTCACCCATGCCTAGTTATAATTAAGTGGCCCTTAGCAAATGTAATTGGAGATCTGTGCCATTTTTCAGTTCCTGTGTTAAAAATAAAGTTTTTTCTTGTAATCACTTTTGGTTATTCAAGGCTGTTCTTGCACACCCATTCTTGAGAAGAGTAAAAATATAAACCCACCTTAATTTTTGAGGAAATCATAGATCCTCATCTTAAACTCTTATAAAATGGTGGCCTCCACTACTCTCGGTGGTATCCCCCCCCTTGCTTGTATTTTTATTTTTCACCAATGTTTCTCTGCAATTCCTAATTTTGCTATGTAACTGTTTGCACTTTTATGTTCGTTAGCTTCAACTTGCATCTCACTGCAAATCCAATTCATGGTTTCCAAAATTCCAACTTCAGTAAAGTCACGATTCACAGTAGCTGAGTGATGTCAATAAAGTGTCATGTTCTAACACTCCTTTAACCAATGTAAAGGAAATAATAAAGTTTAAATATTATAATAATAAATATAAATTATATGCAAATATTAGTGTCAATACTTGCCCCCCCCCCCTTTTCAGATTCCTGGATATGCCAGTGTCTGTCACATATAACCTTTTAACCCATTATCTAAATTGCAGTGTACATCTTGTCTCACGGCTTCCAAATTGGCTTTTTTTGAAAATTAGAAAATAAACTTTCATTTACCACCACCATGTAGGAAAACAGCCAACCTAATTATGCAATGACCAGTTTTCCTCAAATGTTCTTGTACCCATATCCTCATTAGTGATTAAAAGCAAATCTAAAATAGCACTCACCCCACCATATAATTCCAATCAATGTGTCTAAAATTAAAGTCTCCCATAATTATTGTATTAGTATTATTAGTAACAACCATAATTTCATTATACTGTTTCTTAATGACTTCTGTTTGATCAGGTGGCCTATAACTAACTAAAACCTTAATATTCCTAAAACCCCTGATTATAACTATATGAATTCAATCTCATGACTATCGTACAATTTCTTAAGTCTTCAATCCTAACAGGCTGCAGTTTATCCATTATATAAAGATCCACTCCTCCTCTCTTTTAAAAAGTCTGTCATTGTTAAATAACTTATAACTTGGATTTTTATAATAATTCCCACTATCAGTGTTCTCCAAATTTAAACAAGTTTCCCTAATTCCCATTACATCATAGAGTTCCATTTTAACTAAAGCGTTTAACTCGTTCATTTTGTTTGTAATACAAATAAACACAGTCTTGAATCTGCTGTAGTCATCTTTAAATCTAAGACATCTTTAAAACTGTTATTTAACTCGTGGTTGCTCTAGTAATCCTATCAGTTTGTTTATTCCCAGTTTCCAGCACCACTATGCAAGTTTAGTTTAAAACTACAATGAATATGTTAAGAACTTCCTTAAACATACTACTACCTACCCTGGTAAGTAGTGCCCATGTCTGGCATGTAGTTCCCCTTACCTAAAAAACTTGCCCACCTATTCCTTTAAGTTTGTCTTTGATAATATTTCATGTAAGTCTTAGAAGTCGAACCCTGTAGAGGATGAGTATATAAAAAAACCCGTATATTTAAAATCGATAAATCTTTAAAAAGAAATTTCTCCCGTTTCTCTCTCATCCAGCAATACTGTATTGGTAATACGAGTGCTGGATATTGTGGGGATGATGAACACTGTTCGGAACAGATGATGCTTGCAGTATTTTCGGTTGGGGTTAGGTTGATATACTGGTCGAGAATTATGGAAAGCGTATTGAACATTCTCGGTAACAGTTTTTTAAACACACACAGTACCGCGTCCAAACTGAAATTTCCCGAATAAAACTTCTTACTCTGTGTGTGCTTTTGACAAAATGTTATTCCCCTAGGACAAACAGTTGTTTTAGTCATATTAAATACTGGTTTTTCTGTATAATCGAGGTTTTCCATAAAACTAAGAGTTTCATACGAAGTTACGTAGCTGACGACTGGGATATGTTGTTGTCGCTTTTTTAACATAGCCACGCGTTTTGTTTTTTACATCCGCATAGGTATACCTACTAGTTTTTGTGGAAGGCTATTTGGCCTGCGACCTTTTCTGGAATTGTCTGACAGTTCTACAACAATGTACTCATACTTGACATTCAATAACGTTCACCATTCATGAGAAAAAGGATTATATTAAAATTTTAGTTTAAAAATGAGCTATCATCACAGCTTTACATCAGAATAGATTTTATTTAAGTATTTTTGGTAGACGCAGTTATCAATGAAAGTGCCTTGCTTTTCTGTTACAACACTCATAAGATTTTCACGAAAGAAAAACAAATATTATTAAGTTTGTTATTTGGTTGTTTTATATTTGAAACTTACTCCTTTTTTGTAATTTTTAATTGGTTAAATCTTCTTTTTGTTTGTAATTTTTATTGGTTATATCTGAAATTCGCTCCTTTTTGTTTGTAATTTTTAATTGGTTAAATCTTCTTTTTGTTTGTAATTTTTATTGGTTATATCTGAAACATATCGTTTTAGTGGAAATTTCAGTTGTTTTATTTATTGCTCAGCTATAAAAATACTTCCTAGTTATAAAAATATTACCCAGTTATGATTGGTGATGATCGGTGCGGTAGTTTCCGAGATCCGAGTTTTGGACACATATACATCACAAGCTCCATTATAATAAAGATTACTTCATATGTATCTATAGGTTCGTATTCATGAATGCAAACCTTTGAAATTTTTGTGACATATTACACATTCTAGTAAAGAAAACTAACCTCTTTTACGGACCTATTTCTAGTGTTGTTTTTATTTATATTCAAGGGGTGTTTTTACGTAGGCGTGATTAATTTCGTTGTAATCAGTTAGTCCTATTAAATTTCTTTCTGGATTTACTTTTTCTAGAAAGTTGTTTACGAAATCGCTTAATATGCTATTCACCAAAGTTCAATTCCAAACCAAAATGTAATTAAGTTGTATTAATTGAGAGTTACATAAGAGTAGAATTAGCGCATTAGCGAGTCTTTGAATATTGAAAGTATCATGGGAGTTCTACAAGTATATTACATTTTCTAAAGATAAAACTATATATTTAATTATTATTTGTTTTTGTGGTTCCAGTATTCAACAGTTATGTTACCTCAATGTGTTCTGGACAAGTTTTAAATTTTAATATAGAAGGGTCGTTGGTTTTTCGAATTTATTAATTAATCATGCTTCGCAACTTGCACCACTGCAACTCCCTATTTGTAATTATCAACGAGTTAAGAACTGGATAACGTTATCTGATCTTGCATATTACGTGAAACTTGCATTCCCTCTTCCTACTCCCATCGCCTTTTGCATATTGGTTTGTCCCAGTCTGTTCGTCCCGAACTCGTATACAGTATATCTCAAGATTGGATGGATTTTTAACAGGTACTACATACTAAGGTCTTGGGTACATTTGGTTTTCAAGGTAATGGATCAAAAGGTCATTTGTATATAAAAAATCTTCCCCAATCTTGCGGGCATGATATTTCAATACAGGATGAATGGATATTGATCAAGCTTATACAACAGGTACTACATACAGGCGTAGAGCTTGACCCATTAATTTTTATAGATCATGGGTCAAAGACCAGTGTCAGTCAATTTGGGAAGACTTAAATATACAGTATAACATTTTGAGGGGGCATAGATGTTTCATAAACACAATTTTCATAGGTTTAAATTCATATTGTCATGTTATTGCAGCTGTTTTGTTTGTGATTAAAAGGCAAGGAATGTAAATAAAATAAAGCGAAAACCTTACTTAAGTGGAAAAGAAAATGTTATTAAGGGTATTATTTATATGTATGTATGTATGTGTGTAAGGTTATAAGGATGTTTAAAAGGTTATATTGCAGTAAAGCTTTGAAAGTTGTCGCACGTGCTTTTTATACTTGACTGATTGGTGAGTAATGTTTCTAAGGTTCAGTCATCTTGCTGTAACATAACCCTGAACTTTTTCATAAGCATAAAATCAGTATGCCTAGGAGGCTAAAACAATAATGTAGTGGGGGTATGTTTTCGATTACATTTATCTGAAAAATGAAACAGCCGGGCCGTTGCTCGTACTCGAGGACTTCCTGAAATATCTAGCAACCTTGAACAAACCCTATTTTGAGAAGGTGCAGACAACGGCGCTCGTGGCTTACCGTAGCGGATTTGACTGAAGTCCTGTCAGTGGATGTTCAGCTGTTCACTGTTCGCGTTATGTTTGCACGTACAGAAACTTGAATTAGAGCATTGAAACGCACGTAAAGACACGACGGAAACTTTGAATTGACGTAGTTAAACTAACAATACTTCTTTTTCTTCAACTTAGTTTTAGCTAGCAGTTAAGATTCATTTACGTTCCTGTGTAACAAGATTAAAAATCTGTTTCCCTCCCTGATTAGCCAGACTTTATAAAGTATATTGTTGTATATGCGAAAGAAACACGATGTTTAATTGAAAATGGCACTTGCTATAATCATAACCGATTCTGGGAACAAATATTTACTGTTGTGTATTATGTCAACTTTGCAACAGATGGCACGTTTGTTAGTACATGCAGGTTAGTACTTCTAGTAGCTTGTGTTAAGGTCGAACACTCCTTGCATGGGTTATACTTCGTTGTATATCAGTACTCTGTTAAAAAAGGATGTTGGTTAAGATCATACATATATGCCTACGATATCATGAAATCTGTAATATAGTTTATTAAGTGCTGAAAAGTTTAGGCTTATTATATAATTTAAGAACAAATCTGTAACATTAAGTATCATTTATCTATATATATATCGTATGTTTTCAAAGAGCACTAAATAAATTCCATTTTTCCTAAAGAACCACTGACTTAAAATATCCTAATATTACAGACCCATCCCTCAATATATTTCTCTATTGTCGTGACCTTTGGACCTTGACATACCTGTTTGCTTCCCTAATAATTTAAAATGGGCATGCCACTGTATATGGCACCATCTGGGTTGATTCATCAAAACGCTTTTTTAATAACATAAAAATAAAAAACAAGGCTATCAGTTTCCCACTAAATGTTGCATGATAATAGATAATTGAATTCTAAACAGCATTACTGCTTTCTACTTGGCCATGTAAACCTGAGGAAATGATGGGCAGCTGTCTCTGAAATAATCATTGAGAGCTTGTAATATAAATATGTATATATATCATAATTTTGATGATTGGAGTATATTGCTTATCAAAGCATAAAAAATCAATTTTTAGTTTTTTATTTACACAGAAACAAAACCTCTGTCAGCCTGTATTTTGAAGTTTCTGTTGGGAATTAGCTGATTATCAGTTGAAGTAATGTTCAAGTTGCTCCTATACTTTTGACCAGTTTATTTTAATTATTTTTACAGAATTGAAAGGAAACTGTAAAATTTATAATAAATTTCATGAGACCCTACTTAATTTTATCATATGAACAATAAAAAATAATCTGTAATTTACTTCTAGATTTCCAAAATTTGAATAATCGATAGTTATGTGAAAAATGTTTCTGTATCTTGGCAAAAGCATAAAAAGTGTAGTTTATATGTATATACTAGCTTATCAAAAAGTGTAGGCCCATCTGTTGGATAGCAAAGTAGGTCAAGTGTTTATGAGATAAGCTTTGGTTATCACTAAAAAAAAATTCTGTTGAAAGAACATTCATTTTTGTCTGCTGTGTTAATGTTGAAGAGTTATGGCAATAGCCAAACAAACTTACAATGTTGTGCCATGAAGATGGCAAAAGATTGAATAGAAAAGGCCAGTCTTTACTCATGCGAACATTATAAGTAAACTATGAAGATTCAAAAGACAATTTAAATTTTTAAATATGGAATCTAAGCATGGATGTAGTACATAATACACCTGGATTTCCACTAATGGAAGTACTAATGACCAACGTATACTGGTAGAGTAGTGGCTAGTTAAATAATAATTTTGTGAAAATTGTAGTATGATAATATTTACACTATCTGAATTCAGAAAAGGCTAATCATTGCTTTGTACTCTTAGTTTTAATTCACCATTTATAAACAAAGTGATTTCATCACACTGCACTCCTGCATGGGTGTTAAATTTTTATTGATAGCAGTGGTGATGAAATATGGAAATCATATTTGTTTGTTTAAACCATTTACATTCTATGATTAGCCTATTTCATATATATCTTTGTAACTTTTATAAAAGTCTTCCTTTGGCTAATAATGACTTAGACTCGAAATGTACACATTGCTTTCAGATTTGTAAAACAATTGTGCATTCAATTTATTGCTTTATTTATTTTTGTATTTTCCTGAAGAAAAAAAACATAACAAGTCTATCTCACTTTTGGAACAATACAATAGTTTAAATCGGTGATTTGTACTAATATCTTTTGGACTTACTCATCTCAACAATGGCATATTATGCCTGTAATTAAAGCTGCACAGCTAGTGGAATTTGATAAAAGATTATTCTCACATTAGACTTGGATAGTTGGAGTAATCAAAAACAATAATACTTAGAAACATTAATTTTGACTAGTTGATTATTTTTGTGACATTAATCAATTTAATTGTAATTTTGATTAATTTTTATGTGACACCAATTTATGTAATTGATTCTCATAGGTAATTAAGATGATCATCCCGCTCTATCTGTAACAGTGCTGCCACTTCACACTTTTTTTGTCAATATTTTGTTCATGTATATATATCTTTGTACTAATATCTTTTTGACTTACTGTTTTTCAATCACCATGCTAAAGTATTTGGGGGGGGGGCACTTTAAGACAATATCATAGATTTGGACCCTCAAACATATTTATTCGCATCAAGGGAGCCTCAGACTAAAAGAGTTTGGGAACCACTGTTATAGGTAATGCTGTACAATATACTTTTTTTTTCAATTATAGGCTTTAGAAGGTGTTCCACTTACACATAAGTTGTGTATTTTAGTATAGTTGTAGCTCTTTTAATATTTTCATATTTATAAATGTCATTGAAAATGTTTGGAATTTTAAGTATTCTTCCAGTTTACTGGATGTGTATCTGTAGGTATTCATATATAAAATGGGCCTTTACTTTTGTGCCAAATAACTAAGTCTTGGAGTGCAAAAGGTCTAGAAACTCTGTAAGTAAAGGATTTTAAACCAACATTGATTAAAAACAACAACAATTATAGTGTTACGTCTCTGTTCGTTTGTTAATTTCCGGTATAAATTCTTCCCGTGGAACTTCAGCAATACAAGTCCTTTCTTAAATAAAACTAGTTTATTCTTTCTCAATACAACTTTGCAATACACAGAATTTCTACGGTCACTTTAACTTAAACACACGCTATAATTCACAACGATTCACGCACTTTACTTATGGTCACGACCTCTCACTTGACTCAATTATCTGTCTCTATATCTCTATCTGCAGTTATGATCCCACTTTATTTGCCGGGCTTATATATTAGAATAGAGGGCACCTAGAAAAGACTAGAGTTGCCAGGAACAGTCATGATCCTTCTAGAAACTCCAGCGCATATGCTTCCAGTATCATGTGACTTCCATTGTCATAACAATAGGCATAAGTGTATGCGAGGTAAATATCCTAAAAATATTACAAGATGGTGAAAATAATTCAAAGTGCTGCTCAAATGTGACAAATGCAATGTGGGAGCTTCATTACCAATATTGGTTGCTTGTTCTTGGTCTACATACATGGTTACTATGTGTGAATGAGCCACATTTTCTATCATCTGATGTGAAGAATGATGTTTATCTGGGAATTGTCCAGCATAAAATCTGTCACCAGCCCAGACATCCTGAGGACACTATCCATACTGTAGGATCGTGGTAAAGTGTTCTTAGACTGGAACCTATGCAATTTTTATTAAGATGGCTTGGGAATAGCCGCTGCACAAGGCTGTTGTGCTACCTTATGTAGGGAGTTTTTTAACTCATTGACTGGAGCTGCTCTAATGTGTGCAGGATTTTTGAAAGCCAAACACCATATATAGCACACTTGCCTTCCAACTGCTGGAGACAGACCATATCCCATATGGCAAATAATCAGTTAATGGTTTAATACTTTTAACCTTTTTGGCCTTTCAAACGTGCAAAGACCTGGTTATACATAGTTCTGACCTTGCACTTGAAAGCTAGGTTTGTGTAATAACTTTTGCTATGGTCAGATTTAAATTTTCTGAGGCACAACATCAAATGCAAGGAAGGAGTGCATTTATGCTTATATCTGTTGTTATTGTGGAAAAATTTTGGTAATTTTTGGTTAAAAATGTCATTTGTTATTGTTGATATTTATACAAGTGACATTTTCATTATGATGCATATAAATATTCCTGAAGGACATGACCTTGAAGATACTGTCGCAGGATAGGCCCACCTCATCTGATTCTATACCACAAACCATTTCTGAATTATTTTCCTGTCAATGGAATTCTGATTCACCCTGTTTATGTTCCTGATTGTTGATAGCAAACAATACAAGTAACGAGAACTTTTCAAAAAAGTTAGTAATTGTAGGATGGCTAATATCAATCCTTCAAAAAACAATGCAAACAGATAGTAAGGATGGCATTTGCATCATCCCTACATAATAGAACATGCATACAGTGAAATAAAATGTTAACAGGCAAAAATAGGATACATTAAACTTGGTTGTGATTGAATAGTTTTATATATATATTGCTATATGTTAATTCTTGCCTGTGCTATTATGTACGAATTATGTAAAGTTATGATGACCTATTGAGAAAATATTTAAAATACCATTTTGATGAACAATCCAAGCCATCGCTACATAGGCTGTGTTACTGCCTGCCTGATATGGGGAAAATTAAACTCTACAATTCTACATTCAGAAGTGTTGAAAAAACGTTTCAGACTGGTGTGGCTATATACTTCACTTATAATTCTTACTGTCAGTTACATGTACAATTTAAGTTCCCCAAAAGATGTAACTCACAATGTTTACAATCTTTGGTGTTTTATGTATGTTTAAATAAGCTGTACAGAAATTTAAGAATATAAAATTCAAGTCTGGGAAAAACTTTGCCATGGTTTTTTTACCCTTTATTTCCTGTAATTAAATTTCAACATTAGTAATGATTATATGGTGTGTGTTTTTATATACAGTAGTGGTTCTGATGGCACTAAATGATAACCATTTCTGCTATTGACAGAATTTTGCTATTTATTCTGATAGGAACAAATTTATTAATTCTTTATTCCTACAGCCTCTTACAGGTGACAGAGATTTGATATTTATCTTTCAGGAGCAATGCTGACGGTCCTGCATGACCCACAGTTTGTTACTTGTGACTAACTATGGCCACTGAAAGCAATATGCAGATTTTATTCCACGAATTGAAGAATATTTTTCCTGAGATACCTCAAGAAATAATTCAAGAGAATATTATGAAGGTATGTAACTTAAACATGTATGTGTATAAGTGATAATATGTTCACTTTAGGCCACTGAAAGCAATATGCAGATTTTATTCCACGAATTGAAGAATATTTTTCCTGAGATACCTCAAGAAATAATTCAAGAGAATATTATGAAGGTATGTAACTTAAACATGTATATGCATAAGTAATAATACATTCAATTTAGCACGTAGCAGACACTAGGAATGCAGTCACACTCCTAATAATTTTGGTGTAATGGAAAAAAAAAAGTTTTTGATCTACCTTTAAATTAAAGGACATAAACCACAAGGCTCATTTAATACGAAAAAGATGTATACTGAAAACATTAATTCTACAATGTACTATGCCTATGTTATATGGATTAAACCACCTTTATTTAAAAAACAAATACAAGATATCTGTTTTCATGCATACATTTGTTGTACATTAGTTAACATTACACACATACTTACTACACACACACACACACACACACACACCTCGAACACGTATATAATGGGTTAGCGAAAGAAGTTAGTATACTGGATCTTAATTGGATAATTTAGTGTGTGTGTTTTTAGTTTTATCATACAAGCTTTTATCTCAGTTATCTGAACCTTCAATAGATATAAGATTTTCAGTTAGTAATATCATGGATGTCAAACATTAAAAAAATGGTATCAGCTCATGATTATCAATGTAAATAGAGATCTAAGAAATGCTGGAAGTTATGTTTTAGTAACTTAAGATATCCTAATGTTATGGACCCCCAAACATTATTTCCATACTGCTGTGACCTTTGGACCTTCGTACACCGGTTTGAATCCCCTAGAATTTCAAATGTGTTTGCCATTGCTTCGACAAATATAAAAACAAAAGTTGTAAAGTGCATGTGTGTGGAATTGTCAGAGTTTGTGTTTTTTGTATAAATTATTTTCTTACATTTTTATTCATATGTAAGCTAAGACAAATGCCTGAATTAGTATTTTTGATCAGAATACACTTTCTCTGCATAACTGTAGTGTTATAAATGCATTTACATGAGCTAATACAGCTATGTTTTGTGAAGCAGATTCATCCAGTCATGTGTTAGACAAACACAAGAATTTGTTTGCATATATATGTCATTTAACCCAGGATGCATGACTCCATACTGAAGAAGTAATATTGACTATAATTCCAAATTTAATATATGTATGTACACAAAATGTGGTAAACTGTACAAGTCTGTTGTTCACAAAAAAATCAGATCAGTTACAAAGGTATTTATAGTCAAGATATGTCTCCGAATTGACAACATCAGTCTTACTCAGAGTGCAAGGTGATATTCATTTGAGGAGGAAAGATACTTTTGTCCATCATATAGTTTGCATGTTGTACTGGGTATTTACTCTCCTATACCATGAACTGTTGCCAAGTCAGCATGTAAGGTAAAATGAATAGTTTAACTCTGACCTTAAATACATACCACATTGAATGACACTTTGTAAAAGGTCGTGGCTTACACACTTTGACCCACAATCATGTGCATAGGGTAAAACAAAAATTCATATTGAATGTATATATTTGTCTTTGGTTCTAACCTGTTTCAATTTTAGATGATTTAAATGATACAGTATAGAATTATGATTAAGTTATAAATGTGTTTTTTTTTCCATTTAATCTTTTAAATAAATATATTTATATGTGCACTGACAGAGATTTAATTCCTTTAGCTGATCATGCTGTATAATAAGTTCATATTGCCATCAGAGAATTGCAAATAAAAATGCTAGATGAAATGTTTGGGACTTCAGATGAACTTTGTATAAGTTATGTAGCTTGTGAAAATAAAGTGTCATACTTTTTTATGTGATACTTTAAGAATTGATTAAAAATGCTTATCTTTGTTGTAATTTTAATTACTGATGTTTATGGCTTTCTACTACATTCTTTCAAAAGCTTTCCATTCAAGTTTTTATTCTATATACATATGCAGTTTCATTGTTTATAATCACTGGTATACATTACAATTAACTTTATCACATCAAAATTATTAGCAAATCCAATTTCTTTTTTAATTATTAGTCAGACGTTTTCATTTAATATACATATATATGTAATAAGTGTGTTAAAGCCATTCACTATTCTTTTATATATATATATATTTATTACAATTCTTTGTGGTACTTTTCTTTCTTATTCAAGCAGTTACTTGGGCCAACAAAACAATGTAAACACAGCCTTGTCAGTGAAACAAAACTTAATACATGTCTATCTCTCCTTCTTTTACAAAAAACTTTTTTCCTATCACACTGCAACATCATAATTCAAATGAAGTATAGAATAATAAAGTAAACTTTTTGCAAGATTTAAAAAAATCTGGACTATAATTATGGTGCAACTTGTTCACAAATACCTCTTCTTCTGGCAGCATATCACCTAGCTAAGCTTTTGGCACCTTCAGCTATTCTCCACATGAATCTGATTCTCTGCTGAATTGAAGCCATTTTGGCTTATACAGTTGAAAGGAACAGAAAAAGAGCCTTCATTATGTGTTTAGATCACTAGACTATGACTTCTCAAAGCTGATATATTGGAATTACATCACACCATGACAACTGAGGTTGAGAAACAACGATGAACTAAAATCAATAATATTACAATTGTATTGAAGTTACAAGGCTCAAATAAGTGTTGTTCTGTTCAAAACAATTTCAACTTTTCTCCTAAGGGTCAACAAATTCTGTATTGTAGCCCAAAAAATTGAGGAAATTTGCAAACAAACACTAAAGAATCTAAAATCAAAATTTGCAGTTTTTAATTTTATGTATGAAGTTAAATAAGTTTTTATTGAATAAAGTTTAAACCTGAAGTTGTTGTTTTTTTATTTGAAAAACTGACAAGTTTATTTTCTATAATTTGTTTTTTAATTCAATGGTGCAATTTTTCCTTTTAGATGTAGATGAAATGTACCCATCTAGGCATGATAGTTTAAATTATATGGTTTTGTTTTTAAAGGAAAACTATTTGATTAAATTATAACTGGTGTTTATTAATTTTATGAACAGAATTATGTTAGTATAAAATATTTAAATTCATGATAATATCTTCTGCCATCACGCAAATCATTTTTAAGAAGATATATATGTTGGTTTATCCCAATTTGATGTCATTATAATGATACTAGATTTAATTGAATCAAATAATCTTTCTTACTCAAAAAAAAAAATAACTACTATAACATTAAAAGGTTGAACATGTTTGTCTTTAGAAGGCTTTTCAAAAGTCAAATTCCTTTGTAAAACAATATAGGCTTATTATTCTGTCAAACTGTTAATATCATAATCTGCCTTTCTAAGTTCAGTTAATTTTAGGCAGTTCTTTATATTTGTGGATTTCTATTATATTGTTTAAACTGTTTTTCACTTGAACCTTAATTTTTATTGGGGTACATTGTTTCACAGGAAAAAATGTTTGAACTTTCAAAATATCTTTTATATCATTAATTTAACAACTCTTGGGAACAAGTCAATAATTTTGATTTGAAATTCTTTTATTATGTTACACCAATAAAAAAATAAAGCTCTTCAATTAGTTCATACTAGTAGCTCATTTGAATATTAACATTAAAAGTCTTACATCTTTGATATCTTGTAATTAATATTTTTTCATCATTTACTCCATTTAGTTTTTATCTTTTAGTAACACTACAAGGTTCTTGAAGTTATGAATTATGAATGAATCCGCTTCTACTTCAAAGCATAACTTATTATAACTTCCTTTATATGAGAAGCCACTCTGCATTGTTCCATATTCTATTTGAAACATTATTTTTCAATAAAAGGATTATTAGACCAGTACGAAAAGAAAGTTCAGCTGGTCCTATACATTGTTTGAAGCCATTTGATAGAATTTCTTGAACTTTTATGATTAAAGCATAAAATTGTTTTACTTTGGAAAAGTTGATTAAATTAGATTGAAATGTGGTTACTTTGTTGTTATTATTATTCTAAATCTGTGTTGCACAAAATTGCTACCTGTGTAAAGTTATGTAAGGTTTTTAGGCAAGGGAATGTCCCTGTCTCCCATCTTATTTTATTCTCCTGGTAAAGTTATTTCAATTTGAATATGTGATAGTGAAATTTTAAATTAAATTTATTTTACTTGGAATTTAGATTGATGTGAGTTTAGAAAATGTGCATAAACATTATTTTGTAAATACATGGGTAAAATTTTTTTTAAACATATCACTAAGATAGAAAAGTAAGTACTGGGAAAATAAAAATTAACATATTATTCTTATTTTTGTTGATATACCACATATTTTTGCCAAGTACACCTGACAAATTGTTTAAAGAAATGGCAAAATGCTTCATATATTAGTTCTGATTTTGTAGAATTATCTTTGAAAACTTCAGAATGTTCATGGGGCATAAAAATATCATAAACTAATGGTTATAAGTTGAATGATGTTAAATATGATGAAAACATTTATGATGAAATTTATTTTTTACACTGGACAATCTTGTAGTGGAAGAACACTAAAACCTGTTAAAAGCACCTCCTAGATTGATGTAAAACTTTAAAAATCTTACATGTAATAAAGCACTTAAAAAGTATATTATATATTGTCTGAATCTTTTTAGATTGTTAAAATTGAGAATGAAAAAAGTTTTAAAACTGAAAAATGGATAAATGCTGGATTAAGATTAAAGGACAGTTAAAAATGTTGTAGGTGATAAAACTATTTTGACTGCAGTAGTTTTAGAATAAAGCATTGTGTGTGGAAAGGACAATTAGAAACATTATTTGTTGATCTTAATACAATTGTATAATAAAAATGGTGGTTCAACTACAATATTTCCTCATATTGGATAACAAGTCCCACACTTTGATCAATAATATTAGTTTTAATATAGCTCAGTTGATCTTGATCATACAGGATTTTTTAATTCAAGATTTTGCATTTGTCACAATATTAGCAGTGTTTACTTGATTGAGTTTCAAGTTTTCTGTGGCCTTAATATGTTTAATCTATTGCAAACTAATTTAAACATCTTAAACTTTGAATTATAATAAAGTTATGAATACATATATCAAAGAAGCAACTTCAATTATCGAATATTGATTTTCATTTCAAATAATTATGCATATTCATATTGGATTAAGTTTTAAATTTCTTGTTTGGTTCAGGTGATTATTATATTTTAATCTTGAATGATTCTTCTTAGTCCAAATAAAGTAACACAGATTTGTTTTTTTTTTTGTTACTTAATTATCAAACTGAAAAAAAAATAATGTAGCTGAGATGTACAGATCTTTGGTTTTTTTCCTCCTTCTCTTTATTTTATTCCTTCTTATTAATTAGTTTTGTACTTATTTAACTTCTCTACAACTATTTTCAGAATTATGTTTTGTATCTCCACAAAACTTTTGTTAACGTCATATATCTAAAGATTGTTTTAAAGAAATAGTTGCTGTAAATAACTGTGTAAGAGTGAATGTCATTTGTAGTCTTATTTATGACTTTTATTTCTGTATCTTCCAGTTTGCTTCAAACAGAGATGCCTGTTTAAAACAATTAAATAAAGAAAGTGAACGGTTCAAGTGTAACAGCTTCTCTAGCTCAACAACTGAGTCATCAATAAAAGATCAGTTTTCTCCTCTAACATCAACAACCAATAATGTTTATGGCATAGGAAGAGAACTACAACAGAATCACCATGTTTTTCCTAAACAGATTTGTGGCATTTCCAACATGGAAAACTTTAATTCTAATTTTAATTTTCCAAGTGACACAAGAATCCAGGAGCTCCAGGAATTTAATCTTACATCAGGTCTCAGACATTCTCATAGCTCTCAAGAAGTACCAGATTTGATCAGGCAAAACAAAAATTTAGAGAGCAGGAGCCCTTCCTTAAACATTATAAGACCAGAACAACCAGATGTTCCTTCTGCTAGTGAGAACTGTATGAAACCAACAGGTTCCACTCCAAGACATGTAACTAGAATGGAAATTAGTCCACAACCATATTATGCACCTAATGGTCAGTATTTTGATTTATTTCGTTCTGGTTCTGGACGTCACTCAACTGCTGTGAACATTCAACTGCGTCAACCATCATTAGAGGTGCAACCTCCATTAGAAATTATTTCAACACCATTATGCCCAATCCCATCTCGGGACTTTAATTCTCAACTTCAGATATCTATTACATCTTCTGGTGCTGCTGTCACAGCCTTAAGAAAGCAGAGACAAAGTCAGTCTCCCAATTCCCTTCAGCCTCCAGCAGGCTATCTTAGCCCTACCCACATGCCATTATCAAACTCTCTGGTGAGTCCTCAGCATCTAGCCCCTCGTACAAAAGCTAAAGCCTCAACTAATTTAGCATTTGGTAACTCAAGACAGTCTCCTGAGCGTCCTATATCTTGGCCCTCAACACAAACTGATCCTCACAGGAGTATAATAGACCAGTCAGACCCCTGGCCCTCCAAATTGTTCCAACAGCCTATCCAATTTATAACAAACCCCGTTCCGCAGGGTCCAACCACTGCAGGCAGTGGATTTAGAAAAGATGATGATAAAGCTTATACTCAAGGTATGTATTTGTTTTGTAGAATTTACTTGCCTATGATTCCTACAGTATTCATTATACTTGTTTCTTATAATGTATTTCTGGGTTTAAAATAGTTTCCTGATTGTTTTCAACAAACTAATTATTAGAATCTATCTTTTCACATATGTGTATAATAATTTGAGCTTTTGGTTTAATAATTAAATTTTAAGAACTACAATTGTATTTGAATACTCAATATTTTTCCTTATTTTCTAATCTTACAAACCATCTGCACCAATAATTTTAGGTGTATAGAAGATGTTCATTTACAGTGATGTAAAAAGTTGAGCATGTTTTTTTGACTTACCTTACAATAGTCACTGACTTTTTTTAAAGTAATAGTGCAATTTTAATGTTTTAAAAGACTTTACTTGTAATTTCAACTCACAAAACCTTAATATAGAGCTACAGTACTGAAAGTGTCACAATTATCTGATATCTTAAGAACAAAATGATAGAGTAGAAATTTGATTGAATGTGACATCAGAAGTTAGATAACCAAACTTTATAGTTGTTGTTTACCATGTGACAGTCTCGGGGATTGTATGGGCTGGCTCTAACCCCTCATGAAGTCTGGCTGCCTCACAGGAGGTAGAAGAGATGTTACCAGTAGTTTGCTTACTGTATACTGTCTTATTGATTCTCTATCTTTTGCTTTCCCCAGCTATTCCATTTGGGACTTTGTTTTCCAGCAATCTCATTCCCTCTGAATGTTGATGAAGACCTTTCATGGTTACTGTTTTTGCCTTACTAGTACAAAGAAAGTTGATATCCTGTCAGTAGAGTTGTGACCGGTTTGATATAAGGGCTGCTTCTCTTGGGAATTTATCAGTTTCTTCATTTAACTTTATCTTTTCATGGTCTGGCATGTACATTCATAGGATGGTCATATCATGCAGTTGCTTCACTTTCTGCCATCCTTCTGGAGATCAAACACTGAATTATGTGCAGTACAGCCTACAAGTCAGTTGTAAATGTTATCTTGGTGGTCACTGTATATTTGTGGTTCATTGCTTTCAGCATTCCAAAGGAGAGATTGTTTATGGCTTCCAGCTCCATCCTTGTGGGAAGCTTGAATATTCCACCAGCCTAATAAAGAATGTTGTTGCTCTGTGAAATAATGAATGCCCAAATAGCTCTCTTGCTATCTGTGGTGTAAGAACCATTTGTAGCTATGATGAGAGATAGCTGTCCACCATAGTCTTCAAGTAGATGCCAACAAGCTTTTTCTGCTTTAACCTTTGCTAATCTACATTTTCTGTGAGTGGTGCTTTTGACAGATATCAGTGGCACCAGATATTTATTCTACATAAGAGATCTGGTGGTGTACTAGTTATCTCAGTTGTGGCTGTATACTACATATCCACCCAAGACTGTCTCCTGTGGTGCCTTTTAAGCAATCCCCTGCTTTATTGGTATCTGTGGGATCTTTTTTTGGAGCTGGAATGTCCCAGTTAAAAAGAGCAGTGGTTCAATGATGGAGTGCATCGTCTTTACTCTGCAAGAACATAATGAAGAATTATGCTTTTAAGTGTTGTTGATGCTGATGAAGCTTGTGAAGTGTAATAGGGCCTTGATGGAGATATATTAAGTACATTCAATGACCAATCTTAAATATGTATTTTGTATCTTTTCAATCTTATTTAACTGTTTAGCACTCATACTGATCATTGGTAGTTCATATTTCAAGATAGAGTGTATAAGAATTTTATAGAGCTTATTCAGGGGATGCTCTTCAGCTCAATTACCCTTTCAGTGCATTGGTACCTCTGGTTGTCGTAGTGTTAATATGGATGGTGAACTTGAGTTGTCTATTAAAGGTTTCCCCAAGAACTTCATTATATATTCTAGAGAAATGGCATTACTAGCAAAAGATGGTGATGGTTTCTCCTCATCAGTATCTGTTGTTGAGTGTGCAGAACATAGATGTAGCTTTGCAAGAATTGGGGACCATAACTGTATCATTGCACCATTTGTTCACTCGGCTCAAGATGGTTGCATCTTTTTTCAATTTCAGCTTTGCCAGAGCCTCCGCTGTATACCAGAATGTCATCAGCTAATGTTAGCATGGTGTATATGTTGAAGAGGACTGGTAAAAGTGGTGATCCTTGAGGCAGATCAATATTTATGGTGATCCAGTCTGATTGCCAGCTTCCATACTTCATGATTATCTTCTGGAAGCTAGTGCAGCTACATTCCATCTTACACATGTTACACTGATGCCTATTGTGAGCATTTTGTTAATAAGCATTGGCAACTAGAATTTGTTGTAAGTCACAGCCAAGATATTCAAAGCCTCACTATATATTGTTTGTGAATTCAGCAGAGTTGAACCAGTTTTTTCTTCCACCACGATAAACACCTAGTGATGAGAGTAGCAGAGGTTCAATCTGATAAGCAAAATTTATTGCTAAACCCTCATCTGGAATCTGTCCAATAATGTTTTGTAGGATGATAATTTGATAGCTTTTGAGATGAGAGTGATCATTCAAGGGTTTGTTAGAGACATCAATCTGTATCTCAGGGATGCTACCTGTTACCATGTGTCTTTTTATTGATATTCTGACACTAACTTCAACACGTTGGCAGCATCCAGATCTAAGACTTCATCTTGAGATATATTTATAGCTGTGTGTATCTCGTATAAACTAAAGATGGCTTCAATAACTGCATGTAATTGTAGCTTGGATAGGAAATGCTGTAGCATAAGCCTCTTTTGCATGTCACCCTGTTCACATTGGTTAATGTATCTGCAATAGCCATAAGCTTACTCTTTTTCGAGTCAGTATTCAACCTTTTTTGTTTTTATTTTAATATTTTGTTTCTCTTAAACTTTTTTTACTCCTCCATATTTGTGCATTTGATATACTGCTCTCAACTACCAAAGCTTCTTATATATGTTTTACAACTTCTTACCCATTTTGTGTTTTGTACCTTTTTTAAACTTGTGCAAAATCTTTATTTTTTTATATCCAGTTTATTGATTTTGTATTTTATCCTATCAGTTCTGTTTCATTTTGTCTCGCACTTAAGTAGTCCCCTTTATTATTATTGGAAACCAACAAATTCTGAATTGTATAATTTTAGTGTACTTCTTATAAAAGCCATTCTAACTATTGCAATCTTGAAAGTAAGAAAAAAATGTCATTACTGTGTGAACAAAATGTGTTCAAACTTTTCAAATCTGACCCCTCGTTCATTAATTGTTGTAGAAAAAAACAAGTAATACTTTCATTATGTTCCAGCAAGTAATGTCATTACAAAGTACTAGTAAAGACAGACATTTTGTTAGTGTAAGAAAGATAACTTTAAAAGGAATTTATAATAAAATTGTATAGCGAGTAGTTATAATAGCACAAAAAATCATAGTGTGTGTGTGTGTGTGTTTATGTGTGCAGACAAAAGGAAATAGTTCTAAGATTATTATGGCTTTAATGTTATAATATTGTGCTGATAAACAAATTTAATGATGCATTTGCTAGATTAGCAAGTGGCAATAATTTTTGACTATTGAAGAAATTAAACTTTTAACCCATGCTCAATTCAATTCTTATTATAGTCATGATCAACTATATAGTTTACTTAAAATGTTCCCTTAAATTATTTACAATTAAAATTGTTTCACAAATCACACACACAAAAGAAAAGATATTAGGCTGAATAATATAAACTTCTAAGTTTTTACACTGAGAACCATACTAGAAAATGTTAGGAACAGAGATCCTCATTTTACTAGTAATGTTGATCCTGTTTTGCATGTAGGAGAGATTGTAAGCAAGACCAAAGTATTAAAATTCATAAACATGAAGGTGTTAAAACATGATAGATAAGGGAACCCAAATTAAAATAATAATAATTTTTTTTGCACCTAAATGAGTATGAGTGCATTTTTTATTATTTACATTTATAGTACACATTAAATGTTCATTATTTTTTAAGTATATAATGGACAGGAATCAGCATTTTTAACAAATTGGTTTTACCCATCCTTAGCATTACTTCTTCATCAAAGGGCCAGATTAGATATACTGAAGAGAGAATTAGAGAATGTGAAAAAATTAAAAGAACAGCTTCGTAGTGAGGTTCTTACTATGGAAGAAGAACTGTGTAGAAGAAACACCAATAATTTTCCATTTACAAATGTAAGTACTTACCAACTAGTGTCATGTTTTGATGGATGATTTTCAATTAACTCTAGAGTAAAGAGTTATATTTTACATTTTGACATATTTATATTAACTGAGCATCAGGCAGTACCTAAAACATTGCTTCTTTTTCTGCTATCTTGAACTTGAATAAATGTGAAAGAACCTTTGATAAACATAAGATAGTAATAAAGGGGTGAATAGTAAGGCAAATGGGTTTAGTTGTTCACTAAATTGAAACGTGTGGTTTATTTGTGTGGCAACAGACCTTCTCTTAAGCATTTTGGACTTTAAAAACATTTAAGGGGAAAAAAAACAAAATCATAATTGCCAAAGTATGTTTAGAAAGTGAATTAGCAGAAAATTCAGTTTCTTTGTATATACATATCTATCTTTAGATATGTTATCATTTGCAAACTCATTTTTTTTTTATACATCTAGCTACACAAAAAAGATAAAATTCAGCATTATCTAGAAATGTTGCAATCTTCTAGCTGCACTGAGACTGACTGAAAGGAAGTTTATGTAGGGCTATTTTAACATTCAATTCTTGGTAGGAATGTTGTGTAATTTGTTGAGGTTTACAACAGCCATTCACTAAACTTGGTAGAAGTATTTTATATTTTGTTGATTTATGAAACAGACCTTCACTAACCTTGATATATATATTGCTACAGTTGAATGGTGACATTTTTCACTTGTCTGTGTAGGAATTTCATATAAAGTGTTGAATTATACATACAGTTCAGTGGTTAGATTTTTTACAAAGCTTGATAGCAATATCATTTAATGTGTTGATATAGACCTTGGAGTTGGGGAGTTAACTTGATTAACCTATATATATATAATTGATTATATTGATTCGTATCAAGTAAAATGATCATTTAATCAAAATTATTACTAAGTTAATTAATGTCATGAAAATTACTAATTGAAATTAGAGTTTCTGATTATTAATTTGTATTATTCCAACTATTCAAGTAATGGAAATATTGCCAGTATACTTCTCATTATTATTTTTGATTAATTCATCGGTTTTCAGTATAATTTGTAATGTTACACTCATGAAAATATACAGTTAATCCAAATTTAGTTATCAGATTATTACAATTTCAGTTATTCCAAGTACCCAAGTCTCATAAGCTTTATGGATTAGTCAAATGTAATAGTTTAGCTAGCCTGATGATTGATTAATTAATAAAGAAATTCCATTAATTACTAGCTCTAAAATTCATATCTACAGTCTTGTGGTGACATTTTTCATTAACTGATAAGATATAATGTAGTGTGTTCATGTATATGTACAGTTTAGGGGTAGACATATCATCTAACCTCATATATGTATATAGACACACACACAGGGTGACCCCAAATTATTTTTTCTATTTTACAATTTAATAATTAACTAACTAAGGAAATAAAACCATTAAATTTTCAACATCTTGTATCCCAACTCAAACAATTTGTATTGACATGTCAGTAGACTTTTATGTGCGCACTATTAGTGGCTCTCAGCACATGTAACTGATACTCGATTTCAGTCCAAGGTCGCTAGAACGTGTTCACAGTTATAGTGGTAATGACATCTGTCATCCTGATCTTTAGCTCTGTGATGTTTACTATAGGTGTGCAATACACAGTATTCTTAACATACTCCCATACTTCTTTTCTATACTGGCATCTGTAATTACGATGCATTACAGTCAATGACTTGGTGTCTGCAAGCCAAACAGTGCATTAAGCCTTTTATTGCACTGTTGCAATTTTACAGAATAACACAACTCACTAGAGTGAAAAAAACACAATACAATAAAAACAGTTCCAGTTGGGCTGCAAGATGTTGAAAACTGCATTGTTGAATGTTTTTAGTTATTTAATTATTAAATTTTAAAGTAGAAAAAAAATTATTTTGGACCACCCTGTATACAAACACACACACACACACACACACTTAGATGTTGAAAACTGCATGGTTGTATTTCCTTAGTTAGTTGATTATTAAATTGTAAAATAATTTTGGACCACCCTGTATATACACACTCACATACTTAAAGCTTAGTGGTGATATTTTTTACTAAGATATTCCTTTTGATTGCTTGTGTTCGTTGGATTTCAATAACAGTTTTTGGTTTTAACTATGAAACAGTACAAACATATGACCTTAGCAGATGTTAATAGGTTACTTCTTACTAGAATAAGGTTGCAACAAATAACCATGTAGTATCTTAAGAATAATCTTATGCTTTTATAGTAAATAAGATTAAAATATTGTAAAAGTTTCTATATTATGGTTCCACTTTACATTCCAATATTAGTGGTCCCTGAAAAAAAATTATTTTCCAAATAATACTCAAAGGGTATTTAAGTGTTAACTAGAGAAGAGTAAGCAGATAATACAGTGTTCTTCGTGAAATATCTCAGTGAAACATGTACTTTCGTAGAATTCTGAGTTTTGTTCATTGTCATGGCACAGACATACAACTATCTAATGTATTTATTTATAATAGTATTTAGATAAGTAGTCTAATTGTATTTTCATTTTTGAAATAGTTATGACTAGTGCACCTAAGTATCTTATTAACATTATTTTTGGTGTGTTTTATATAAAAATCATTTAATTGTAGTAATCATGCACGGTTTAGCTGTTTTCTCTCAGAATATTCTGATTGTTCCTGTACATGTACCAGCAAAATGTTAGATCACTTGGAAACAAGACATGCTGGTAGAACAATAGATCAGGCTTATTAATGTTACCCATCTTGTGGGCTAGTTAATAGAAAATTCTAATGGACAAGTATCATCATATTACTGACAAAAATCACTAACATATAGAAATTAACAACTGAAATTAAATTGTGTTTAAGAATTGTAGTTTCTAGTTTTGTAACAATAAAAGTAATAGAATGATGCAGTATGTTGTTGTTTTTTTCTCCTTTCTGGTCCATTGAATAATAGGTATTTTTGAACAGTTCAAAGTGATAATATAAAGGTGACTTGTAAAAATATATAGTTAGGTCTATGTTTATATCACCATGCATTGAAGTATTTCTACATGTATAGTGCATTTCCTGCAGTCTTCATTATCTTAATTGGTCATAAGAAGCATATTACACTTATTTCTATTATTTGATTTTTGTTGATCACACCAGTAAACAAATATTCTATAGTTTTTATCGAAAGATTAATACTGACAGTGCCAGTTGACTATAATAAATTCATACATTAGACAAGTTAACCTCATGAACTTGTGTCACTTGTAAATCACTTAAGAGAAAATGGTTTCTAGTTCTAAAACAGAATATCAGTGAAAAAAAATTTTAGAAAATATTTGGTGAGAACTTGGGAGTGGAGAATTCTGATCATTTTTTTTTAACTTGTCATTCAATGGTAAGGTGAATTATTTCTTTCTGCTGTACCCTCAAGGACCATTTTGGAAGAGGCATTTTGTGCTATACATTCAAAAGTTGTGGTCAGATGAGGCAGAATTTTTTTTTCTTTAATTTCAGAGGTCATATGAAATAGTTTGTTTTGTTCATTCAGAACTCAAAGTCAACCATTGTGATGTTCTCTATCTTACATACAGGAGTAATTTAGAAGAGCTAATATTTATTACTGTATTTTCAGAACTTGTGTAGGGTAGTTGCTTGTTTTATACTTTGTACTGCAGTTTCAAATGTTTTATTAAATGTTTATGTGATATTCACAGATCATGTGATAGTTATGTGTTTTATACATTTAAAAGATATGCTCATGTGAGGTAGTATTTTGTCCTTTTGTTCACAGGTCATGATAGTTTTTGTGTTTGAATTCAGCAGTCAAAGTCATGTGAGATAATGTTTTTGTGCTTTACAATCATGGGTCATGATAGTTGTGAGATAGTATTTGGTACTTTATGTTCACAGGTCATGACAGTAGTGTGATATACATTCAAAAGTTAAGATCTTGTGAGTAATATTTACAGTCACGGGTCATGTGATAATCATTTGTTTATACCTTCAAATTTAAGTTCTGCTGACATTAAATTACATTCAGTAGTGAAGTGTTATAGTTGATTGTAATAATTATTCAAAGTTAGTGTGCAAAAATTGTTTGCATTATATAGTTAATGAGTCAGTCAAATAACATAAGGTATTTTTACTCTAATTTTCAGGGTCATGTATAGTTGTTATTGCTGTAAGTTCAAAGTTAAAAATCAGATGATGTAAGTGTCATGATGTACATTGAGAGGTTACGTGTTGTTATTTTTAGATAGATGTTACACATCCGGAGGTTAGTTTATGCGACATGGGTGCTTGTAAATATCTATTGTGGGTAGTTCTTTATAATTACATTCTCAGATCAAACTTGAGTAGTTTAACTGTTTATACTATATATTTAAAGCCCAAGTCTCAGTTTGGGTAATTGTTTGCTATATGCAGTCAAAGGTTTAACGAAGTAGGTGTTTGTACTATATATTCAAATGACATATAATATATTTCTGTAACATAGTATCAAAGTCGTATGGAGTAGGTTCGTACTACATAATATAAAATAAATTTGGGCACTTTTTTTCACTTTGTATTATACAATACAATGAAACATCAAGTAGACGATTTTTGTACTTTATGATCTAAATTCAATGTTAGTTTTTTAGATGTCTTTTTAACTATACAGTCATAGTAAGTAGTCAAAATCAATTTAGATAGCTGTTTGTGCTCTCCTCATTTGTAGCTACAACATATATTAAAATAATTGAAAATTATTAATAACTTTTAATTAGTTTAGATGTTACTTCTTTGTCACTTTATTCTACATTTTGATGATTTTTTTAAGTGTTTAGTTGCATGAAATGTATTTTCTGAAAACAACATAAAAAATAAGTGATGAAATAGAAGATTTGCTCTCAAAATGAACAAATAAAAATAGCTCTAAAGATTTAGGTCATGAAAGGATGTTCTGCTGTAATTCAGTTGCATTACCTTATACATTGGAGGCTTAATGAAACATTTATATTGTTA